TATGGATTTCGGATTTGTCTCCGGCTGTGCCAGGTCGCTCCGCCGCCAAAGTCACCATTTGCCACGACGTCGTAATGGCCGAGGCAGAGGCAGTGGTAACTTATTGCAACGTGGCGTGCGAGTGGCCAGCGAGTGCTCCAAAGGGGGTGGCTGCCCATCCGGGCATCTGCCCATCAGACAATTGGATGCTTCCAGCTAGAGATGTATGGCGCAGATGAGACGCTGCAACGCTCTCATATATCGCCAAAAATATCGCAATCTTTTCAAATTACAAACAATCAAAAATAAACCAATTGGTTTGTTGTTAGAAGCGGAAACCAAAACAGTCTTTATTCCAATAATTTAATGTCTTAGCCATGTACCAAATACAATGTTGTTCAGTGACTTTATGAAGAGAGATCTACATCAATGTGATCTTGACACAAACTTTATTTAGACCCATGCAGATTGTTCTATTTTTATTATTATTTATTATTATATAATTTTATTATTTATGTAGCTCAACACCTAGAATGGAAGATAGTCTCCATGTACAAATAATAATGTTTGTTAAATCTACAACAAATTGTATCCCCAAAAAGTTCAATTTAAATTCCACCTTTTGCCATCTCTAGTTACAATTCAAGTGGGGACCTTTGTGGCTCTCGATATGGATGTGATTTCGTTTTCTTTGCAAGTTTATCCACATTGTAAAGTAGACATTATGTTGATGTCCGGCTGAGATCCTGGTCAGCTCAGCTCCTGGTCCGCTGGGCTCGGCTCATATCGCACTTGGGACATCTGCCGACGGTGGCGATAATATCCCTGAAATTATTTTCAGTGGCTCGTACATTGGTTGGCCGTCCTGGTCTTGGCCTTTGTTTTATTGTTATTGTTTCGCTGGCCGGGCCATTGTCGTTGCCAACTTCGTGACTCCCATCCAATCCCAGCCAGGACACATTAGTGGAAGATGGACATTTCGGAGCTGTGGGTCTCCGGCCAAAGTTATTACATGTTATATCTCGCTTTTTCCGAAAGCTGTGCCACTTGCAATTATACACTTACTCTGCAACATTGTATTCGGTGATTCGGGATTCGGGATTCGGTGAGTTCGGTGGGGTTGAAAGCGGGCGTGTGTGTTTGTGATTTTCGCATATTGGCGCTGCAAACTAATGGCTTCACTAACGATTGTAACCGTTGTCCTTAATGGCATCCTTTTGGGCATCACGCGCATCCCGTTTTACCGATTTGTTTTGTCTGTCCCACATTCCCCTATCCACGGTCCAATGGTCATGGGTTTAGTATCTATGATGGAATGAAGAGATAGCTTTGCCTGTCGCCCTTCCCTCCACTTTCCTTGGGTCGGTGCATTTAGATAATTAGAGTGGTTGGAAGCAAGTATACCTTTGCTTTACCTTTTACTTTAAACTAAACTAAAATAGCTGAGATTTCCCGGAGAAATGTCTTGTCATCAATATTTTGAGTGTTAATCAGCATAAAAAAAAAAATTATTTATGTTATAAGCAAAACAAAATAATTACACAATTAAATTATATTTAATGAAAAGGAATTTTAAATTAAAATTCATTTTTTAATATTAAGTAAAGCTTGATTTAGAATATTTGTATATTTTGGATATCTAAACAAAACAGTTAAAAAAAAAAGAAAAAAATAAAAAATAAAAGAAAACAAAAAAAAAAGAAAAGAAATAAATAAAACAAAAATAAAAATTAAAATAAGGGTTTGGGAACTTTTTTTATTGCGGTGCCGTTCTTTAAGGTTGTACCCACACACATCTTTGTTCAACCTCTCTGTCCACACATCTTGACCAAGCTCGTTGCGGTCAAAATAAAAATCGAACAAATTTATTGTTAATAGAAAAAGGGATCGAGCGGATGAGGCACGCACATTTACCCCTTCCCCGCCCGTCGTCTGCTGACAATTGCGGGGTGCGGGGTGCGGGGTAGTGGCGATGGGGTTGACGATGCCTATCTGGTCATCGCAGGAGCAACGTGGACACTGGACACTCGTAAACATCTCGAATCATACGGTATCGAAAAATAATCTTACAACGGAAATGGCATATTTAAAAGGCCAAAGGATTGCTGCGATTTAACTTATAAAATCGACGAGGGGAATCCAATGCCCAGGAGGACTTCCAGTCCGTGATAGTGCCGAAATCTCATCTCCTGCCTCCCTTTTCCCCCGTCCCCCTCCCCCCCCTGCGACGGTGCACAGCATCTTCGGGCACTTTTTGGGGGATTTTTAGTGTTTATTGCCGAAGATTAGTTTGTTTATTGTAATCCTTGTTATAAATTAAGCCAAACTTGCGCTTAAAAACTCATTGGCAGCGGAGGCCAGCAAGGGTTGACCCACCCTCATCGTCGGCAAGTGGGATTCGCAGAATCCTGCAGCCGTCCTGGGCCATATTAATTTGCGCATATTTCCCCGAAGGCGTCGAGGAAACTTGGAGCAGATAATTGCTACAAATGGTTTACGACCACAGCCGACAAATGCTGCAGTTGGAGCACTTCTTGCACACATATATATTTTATTTACCTATTGGCTTGGAGTAACGCTAAAAAAGACGAAGACGAAGCCATTCCTGAAGCGATTTTGGACTCAATAATCTGCTAGCAAGTTAGGTTGTTATCTTCTAGCTCTGAAAAAATATTAAAAACAAAAACCTTTGGAATGTAATTTTGCATTATACCAAATACTTAGCAAAAAGGTTTTATTAAAAGAAATCATACACAGAAAATTAATGGAAGTGCTTGAATGACCGTACAAAATAAATTACGGTTGGTTGAATAAATCATTTCTTACAAAAAATTTTCTGTATAATTATGATACTGTGTATTTTGTTGTTACATAATTTATTGTTTTTCACTTTTTTTAGCATTTGTACATGTATTTAGTTGGCGATTTCCTGCTGTAACTAGCTGTAAAGTAACTATAAAAGTTGTAATTTACTAGGTTTTCTTTCACTTATGAATTTATAATATTCAACTGACAAGACATTTAAAAATAATTTCTGTAGTGAGTTCTTACATATTTCCATACTAGTTGGAAAACAAGTGCACCTTTCAAGCTGTTTGGGATTAACTTTGTGATAACTTTAAGAAGCGACTATTCCATTACTGTAATCAATCATTGGAACTTTTCAAGTAAACATTTTGTTGAATTTACTATAATTTAAATTAAATTGAGTTTTATTATAATATGTAAAATTTACGGTTGATTACGGTTTTTCAAATGTAGAATATGTTTACTTAGCCAAGCATTTGTTTTTTAATGTGCTGATTTCCCTTGCTTAGACTTTAACCAATTAATAAAACAGTACTAATAACTTAGGCCAACAACACTGGCTTTGATTAAAAATATTATATACAATATTATATATTATCTGCGTAGTATATGGCTTTATATACTTTTTTTCTATTCCGTCTATTCTAATTGGTCTGGGTTCAATTCACTTCGCAGACAACAGTAGAAGAATAAAATAACAGTAGTCCTTTAAAAATGTAGGTCTCAAATAAAGATTATATTCAAAACCTGACATATTTTTAGACAAACCGTCTTTACAAGTTCTCTGTATCTCTTAATCAACGTTTCTAAAACAAAAATTCCCCAAACTATGCATTTATTTAATATTCCTTTTATTAGTTTAAAATGCTTCAAACGTCCTTTTTTTCGTAATGTACCAAGATTGAAGGCATAAATTATTAAAAAAGTTATGTAAAGAACGCACTATATTGGATTTTTCGATTTTCCAATAAGAACATTTAAAAAAGATAAAAAACATTTCTAGAGTCTTTTTTCATATTTCCATCGAAATAGTATGCAAATCGTCTGAAAAAGCTCGTTCAGTCAAGCCTCACAAAGCAACTGTGTTAGAAATGGTTGGAAGTGCAGGTAAATATCAAAATTACCGGATGTTCAACCGACTCATATTTTGTAATATTCCAAATCTGCAGCTGTTGTGCTTTCCTCATTCAATTCGCTTCGCTCGGCATCGGCACAGATTCAGATGAGTTTCCATATTGCAATCAGCGGTGGCGGCTGTTCAATAAGGATAAAGAAAACCTAATAAGCCGGAATCCTCCCACACAGGTGACTGAGTTGTGGGGGGAAGTCCACAGCCAAACATAAGCAAACAACTTCAGGTGATGGCGGCAGAACACCCGCGCATTTCTTTTTTTTTTTGGTGAAATGACAAAACTCCATTAAGAATTACGTTACGATTACATTACATTTCCCCCTTTTATTACATTTCCAATTCCTTTTTCGCTTTGTTTGGTATTCTGCTGGGCTTCCATTCGAGGGAGTGAGAGTTAGCGCGCTTCTAATTGCATTTTAAAATTGCGACACCATAAAATGTGCTTACGGTATAAATAATTATAACGGCATTTGTCGCAACAAACAGCAGCGGGCTCTGCTGGAACTACTCCTCCATGGCCCGAACCCGAATCCGGATCCGCATCCGCATCCGCATTCGCATCCGCATCCGAGCAAAAAGCCAAAGCCGGAGTGGCAATGATTTCGAGTGTCAGGAGCGAAGGGGGCCAAGGATGATATTGCGAATACGACGAGTGTGCCGAGGACACTGGCATGCAGTCAGTTGTAGTCGCATCTCCTGGATATTGCATGAACCACCCCCTCTCTCCCCCCCACTCATCTGAATTTTAATTTGCCAGTCAACCCTGTTTTCATGCGGCGACAATAACAACTACGACGACGACGTCATGCGATTAACGTGAGCTGCATATTTTTAGCTAATTTTCTAATTAAAATGGTATTTATGCATTTTTCAGCTGGCAGAATTAAACATTCAGTGCTAAGGAGGCAGAAAGCAGACAATGCCAAAGTACACCTCGATTTGGTTGGATTTTGCAGACAAGCGGAACAATGAAGCAAGGATAACAGTAAACTGAGAGGATGATTACATCACATAATGTATGTTTATTTCATCATGTTCTGTTTCCAAATAAGCATTCTCACTTAGGAAGCTTTCTAAATCATGACAAAATCCTTGCAGTAGTTTAATACTCTTAAAATAATTTCGATTTTTACACTTCTTTTAAATTACAGTTTAATACCTTTCATATAAATTTTTTTATCTGCAGTTTCGAAGTGAGTTGGCAATATTTAAATGCACCTAACCTAACCTAATTTTAATGGTACCCCTTCAATAGTCATGACTAGTCCGTCGCCTATCCTTTTGGCCTGCTTCGTGCACCTGATGCTACACACCTCGATCTTCATCCAGATGGATCCGGATGATTTTGCTGACACCCCTATCCTGGGCAGCCAAATATTCTATCTTTCGGTGATGGATCTGCTGTGCCACTGCGATGTTATACCAGAGCATTGGAAATACGTTCCGCCATGGGGCAAGTTTATCCTGGAGACAATCGTCATCTTTCTAGTTGGCGAGATTTTCATGGTTGGAGTGTGGCTCTCTATGGAAGCACTTCTCGTCGAGCTCATCGCCAACGTCACCAATTGGACGGGTCTCGTCAGCGCGTCCAGTAAACGCTCGAAAAGGTTCTTCCTGGAGATCAGCACTTTGGTCCTCGGCATTGCTTTCTCGGTGACAGTGGCTGCGGTCACAAATCGACCGGCCAAGATAAAAAAAATCGGAAGCAAAATGTTGGACACTATCAATCAGGGCAGGCTTTCATTGTTTGCCGGCCAGGAATAGACGATTCCACGATCGATTCCATTATAGGGCGAAAAGTGTCGAACTTTTTTATAAGGTACCTAAATTTGTAATCTTTTTTAATCTTGGCCGTAAATTTATATTTCTTAAAATCTGCATTAGCACTACGTTTTATAAAATAATGTGTTTCTTCAAGGGAAAACATATTTTGTACGTAAGTACCTTTTTATTTCATTGTGAAGTCTGGCTTTATTTATTCAAGTGGATTGGGCAAATTTTTAGAAAAATAATACAACACAATAAGTTATTGATTGCTTGTTAGCTAATATACTTTGTTTCGACATAGAACAATTAAATTCAGTAGTATTTTTTTCTTTAATTTTTTCTTAACTTGGCGATCGAAGTACGGCATTTCGATTTTTACCATGTCTTTATTATGATACCTTTTAGATTTCCAACATCATTTATACATTTTTAAATGGCTTAAATGATACGTGTTTGTAAATACCTGTTTAACTGATCACAAAAACAATTATTTTTTACAACTAGGCATCTTAAATCCCTTTTATTCGGTCTATTATGTATCAAATATTTGTCTTCCCTATTATATACCATTTCAAAGGGTATCAAACGCGTATATCCTAAAGAAAAGGAAAAAGAAAAAAAAAGTTTTTATTCAATATCGGGTCCACCCCTTTAATTTCCTAAAAAACGAATGAATATGTCCTATTGTGCCGTCATATCTATATAAATCTAAAATACTAACTGGCCAGATCTACACAGTTTATTTTCCCAGTTGTAGCTTTCAACCGATCTAATTTATTTTCGGTGCGGAAGTCGACTTTCTTTCTCGTTTACTGTGTAGTATATAGTCAATTTTAGTTTCTGATCTCTTTGCACTTTCACATTTTGTGAAGCTCAACCCTGCTCACGGAGACTTTGATACGCTCCTTGAAATGGCGAGCTTGTTACCCGCACACTTGACAAGGATAATGCATTGGACAGCTGGCTGTCCTGGCTGCTAGGAGAGCAGTCAAACGCAGCTTGCACCGCACTTGGATGTCGCATAAATTTGTGACCAGGCCAGGACATATTGTACTGGAGCAAAGAAGACCAGTCAGGCGCTACTGCGGCTTATGTCCTGGCATCCTGCGAGTCCTGCCCGTGTCCCTGGGTCTCCGCATCACCCAGACGGCGCCTGGTCAAATTTATTTACTGTGTTATTTATTCTGTCACTTTGCAATGATTTGAGCACTTTGGTTGCTGTGCCACACAGGACTCTGATTGGCCAGGAAAGTGGAGAAGTTTTTAGTGGTGAACTGACCAATATTACAGTTTCAACAGAGTTTTAAACACCGAATATTTTAGATAATTTTGATTGATATTTAATTTTGAAGTTGTTCGGTTTAAAATAGGTTAAGTCTAGAGTTTTAATGTATTTCTGGTGTTTTATTTCTAACTGCTGTTTCAGTACCAATAAAAGACTTAACCAAAAGTCACTTTCAGTTGTTCCTTAGTTAATGGAACTCCCAACTCCTCCTTCGTTCATACAGCACTTGTCAGGTCCAATAAACCTCTTCGGCACATGTGGGCTGAAAGATTTGTATGAGCATGATCCTTCGACACACCCACGCCCCATGAAAATGAAGCTTCCGATGCGCACAGCTCCTCCCCTTTTAACTGCAGAGCCAACATGTAATTCTCGCATTTTAACGACCTTCAGCTGAGCAGAACGACGTGTGTCCTGTCGACGGCGACAGATTTTTCTAATGTCTCCATTCGAATCCTTTGGCCAAAGGCAATTAAATGAGCCACGGAATGGGGCGAAGGAGGAGTTGGAGGACACATAATTGTTTTTTGCGTGCGTGAGTGGGACCGAGCGGGAGCTGGATGTGGGTGAAGTGTCATAAATTCCATCGGAGCAACACGATTCCGTATGAATTATGTCTTATGGTTATTAGACAAAAGGACATCCCTGATCCCCAGCACAAACACATTCAAACGTGTCGAATCATTGGCTGCAGTCGGGCGTTGGAAGGCGTAATTATTAACATTTGTGCTGGGCAAAACAATTAAAAGCGAAAGCAGCTCGAATCAAAGAACAAGAAGGACTCTGACACACATAAAAGAGCACTGTGTGAGGTGGGGGAGGGGGAGTGAAGGGGCGGGGTGGAAGGTGTGAGCTGGGAGATTGTCAGTGTGAAGAACACATGTGCAATTGCCGCTTGCCTTAATGGGCCATAAATAACCAGGACAACAATGAGGCGGCTGCACTGCATCCACCTTGGCGTCCCCCCTTGCATGAATTTTTTCTCTTATTTATACACTTTTTATACCCGATAATCACAAAGAGCAAGGGTATGCTGTATTGTGGAAGACAGACGAATTAATAGTAATGCATATCTACTATTTTTAAGCTTCTCAGTGTAAATACAACTTAAAGCTTTCCCAACCAACAATTTCGAGTTACATTTACCAATCTATATAACGATCAATGATTATTATCCAGCTAAAGAGACAAAACCTATATTTTATCCTATAAGTAAATATAACTTAAAAAGTAATTAAACAAGAAAGGAAAGCTAACTTCGGGCGGAGCCGAAGTTGAAATACCCTTGCAGAATATTCTGCAAATTATATTCTCCAAAATTATTCATATGATGAATTCTTAATAACAAATACTAAAGTTATGGCATTTCCGATCAATCAGTTATATGGCAGCTATAAGATATAGTCGGCCGATCCTTTTGAAATTTGGTAGGTCGGATTAATTGGCCAAATATAAAACCCATAGAAAATCCCAACTTCCTAACTTAACAAACAGCAGAGTTATGGCATTTCCGATCAATCAGTTATATGGCAGCTATAGGATATAGTCGGCCGATTCTTATGAAATTTAGTACGTCGGATTGATTGGGCAAAAATAAAACCCATAGAAAATCCCAACTTCCTAACTTAACAAACACTAAAGTTATGGCATTTCCGATCAATCAGTTATATGGCAGCTATAAGATATAGTCGGCCGATCCTTATGAAATTTGGTAGGTCGGATTAATTGGCCAAATATAATACCCATAGAGAGTCCCAACTTCCTAACTTAACAAACAGCAGAGTTATGGCATTTCCGATCAATCAGTTATATGGCAGCTATAGGATATAGTCGGCCGATCCCGGCCGTTCCGACTTATATACTGCGTGCAAAGGAAAGAAGGGTGTGTGCAAAGTTTCATTTCGATATCTTTAAAACTGACAGACTAGTTCGCGTAGAAACAGACAGACGGACAGACAGACGGACAGACGGACATGGCTATATCAACTCAGGAGGTGATCCTGATCACGAATATATATACTTTATAGGGTCGGAGATGTCTCCTTCACTGCGTTGCACACTTTTGACCAAAATTATAATACCCTCTGCAAGGGTATAAAAATTAAATAATAATGCGTAACCGTATTTTAAAGTCGACTACTTCGAACATTCTTCTTTCTTTTATTGTTGCTCGGCAGGACACATGAAATTATTGCACGTCGACGTGCAGCCAATCGGTGTGCGTGTCCTTGCTGCCATGCACACACAGACACACACTTGTGCACTGCATGTGCATGTCCTTCGTCATTCATCAACGATGTGTGCGGTTGCGGCTTAGGGGTGGCACATACAGCCTCGTCCTTGCCGCCCGAATCCTTGCACCAGCGTTTCTTCCCCAAAAAAGAGACCGAATCGGGGAAATGTGCAAAATGTTGAAATGCGTCGACCGCTTTTGATTTATCGTCAATTGAGATGAAACATAAAACGCTGCTGCCAATAAAAGTGCTCGGAGCAACGGCGTCGTCGTGTATCCTGCAAAAAGGATAATGCGCAGCGCCTGTTTTAATTGAAAATAAATCTTGTCAATTTACGTCGCGGCCAGACACATCCTGATCCTGCAGTTTCTGTTTGCTTTTATGTCTGATTTTCATTTCTTCTACCAAATTGTAAATTACTTCCGCATCCCCTTTTGTTGAATGTCCTTTTTTCTGGGTGTATTACCGAGTGTTTGTCCAGAGCCAAAGGTGTTGCGTACTTGCTACGATGCCTGGCCTTTTTTATGACACTAGAAAAAATATTCAGAAATCCGGCGACGAGCATCCGCAACCTTTTTGGCGAGGTCCTTTGGGGTCTTGTCCTTTTTGCAATAGCAGAAAAAATCTACATATAAATAAACATTAAAATACTTTGGCGGGCAAATAAAAAGTCTGCAGGTTGGTTGGGTCCCTCGAATTTGATACCTGATAACACATTTATGTATTATAATTTATTACTTATTTAAGAAGGCTTCATGATTTATTCCAAGATTACAATGTGACTTAAAAAAAAATTTATTTGAGTTTTTAATATATTTATTTAAAAATAATCAAGAAATAAGGGGTATATTCGAGAAGGAAGGAATTGTGCAATAAAATTTTTATTTTTTTCAAGATAGGCAACATTGAAAATTGTTTGTTTTCATAATTTTTTACCCTTACCATATGGAAAAGGATTTAATTATTAAGGTTCAAAGCAAAGGCATTTCAAACCCTTTATTTTCATTTAAAATCGTAATTGTAACTTAATACTGAAGACAATGGCTGTATTAATATTAGTATTACATTTGTGCAGGAGTAAAGTATCCAGTATTCGAGAAAAATATCATGTATTCTTCAGTTTATGGAGAAACGGAAGCTTGACAAAATTTGTCCTTCTTCTCCTTTACCATTATTCTTGAAAATATTCTTTATAGCAGAATAAGCTTTTGTGAACACTTGCATTTTAGTTTGTTTATACAAATTTTATGAATAGCTTTCCCTAAAAATGGAAATCAAAATTCCCTTTTTTTATAGCTTAACTTCAATCTCATAAATTTCTGGTTGGACCATCTTAAGACACATTATACTGCCCGGATAGCTAACATTAAAACGTCGTTCCTCTTGTGTTCTCCACTTCGCCACAAATCAAGGCTAAAAATCATTTAAACGATTTTCCCGCACCCCAGGAAAATTGTCACTTTTGATTTGTTTGCCCTTGATATGGGGGCGAACTTTGGATTTATTTCCCCTGGCGCTTCCTTTTTCGGATGATTCGCAGGGTCCTTGCAAGTATCCCATTTGGCGCCGCTTGCATTTCCTTTGGCATTCGGTTTTGTCCAGAATGATTTCATGT